GTGGTTATACCTACTGCTGTTCACCATATGGGCTGGGATGTAGCTTATCCTCAGAGATCTTGCCTAGCGTGGCTAACGCCCCAGGTCTGAGCTCCAGCACGGGGAGTGTGTGTGTGTGGAGAAACATTACAGTTAGGATTTTTTAAAACAACACAAAAAAACCAAACCAAATCCAAACTAACCTAGCTTAACATAAATAATACATTTTTTTTTTTTTACAGAAAACAGCTGGATTTTATAAAATAAACAGTTTAGGGAAAAGAGTGGCATCTGTTGGACATTGTTTACAAAGCTCTTTAATGTTGGATTAAATAAGAGACAGCAGGGACCTCACAGCCGCTTCCACATCCACTACGTGGTGATAAGCTGCTTTGTTTGCAGGAACCGGTTGCTGCATAGCCAAGTACTGGTGAGAGGAAGGTTTTTCCCTGTCTTGTGCTGGGGAGGGAGCTTGGGCCTTGAACACACAGGGTACCTGCTCTACCCTTGAGCCCAGAGGGCTGGAGCTCAGACAGAGGGCTCGTTCAGATAATTGAAGATGTTTTTCTTTGACTTTAAAAATATTTTTATGAAGTTGGGAGGTGGTGCACACCTTTAATCCCAGCACTCTGGAGGCAGAGGCAGGCAGATCTCTGTGAATTTGAGGTAAGCTTGGTCTACAGAGTGAGTTCTAGGACAGCCAAGCTACACAGAAAAACTTTTTTATTAGTATGCATGAATTACTCTGAAGAATGGGTTTTATTACAGCTTTTCACGCACGTTTATAGTGTATTTTGACCACATTCACCCCATTGCCCTCTCTTGTCTCCCTCCCATGATCTGCTCTTCTTCCCAATTAGGCTCCCCGAAAGTATGCATCTGTTTGTCTGTCTGTTTTGGTTCTTTGATAAAGGGTCACATGTAGCCCAGTCTTTCTTTCCTCTGCCAGGGTGATTCAGAGCAAGGTCAGCTCGCAGATCAAACTATTGCATAGATGCTTCCCCCTGGAAGGCCACACAATAGTTCTGTTTGCTGCGGAAGCCTTTTGTAGATATTATCCATCTCACACAGAGTACTGAAAAGATGCATGCTTAATGCCCAAGTTTAGTAAAAATGATAACTTCCAGGTTGACCAGATGGCTCTGTAGGTGTAAGAGATGACCAGATGATTCTTGGGTCCCATGTGGTGCAAGGAAAGAATCAACTTACAAAAGCTGTTTTCTGACAGCCACACATACACCATGGTAGTTGTGTACACAGGAACACATACTCTAAATAAATAAATAAACATAAAAATGTTTAAACAGATAACTTTCTTGATTTACTTTTTATTTAAAAACTTTAAAAATTATTTAAAAATATTAAATTAAAATTATCATTATTTTAAATTATTTATTTTTTAAAATAATTAAAATTATTAAATATTAAGATATTTTAAATTATTGTGATTTATCAGGAATTCTAAGACCTATGGATTTGACATATAAATTACTGTTCTGCTAAATAGATCAGAGACATAGAAAACATTTTCAGTAAAGTTTCATGGCAGCCAATTGTTCCTTTAAATGTACTTGTATTTAGTCTCTTTCAAGTGTTTTCCCTGCGGAAGGCTCCTGAAGGGATGGGTGTCATTAACAAGGTTTCTCGCTCATTCCTGTGCATTAGGTTTCGGTTCTGGGAATAAATGTTGAGCAGTTTCTGGTTCTCACAGGTGGCTCAGCCTCCATACGAGGTCTGAATCACGAGTGGAAATCGGCCAAGGAATGGAGGAATGGGGGTTGTTTTAGTTTCCTCTCTGATGCTTTGATAAACGTTCTCACCCAGCTGGGCTGTGGTGGCACACACCCTTAATCCCAGGACTCCAGGAGTAGAGGCTGGAGGGTCTCTGAGTTCAAGATCAGCCTGGTCTACAGAGTGCGTTCTCGGACAGCCAGGGCTACACAGAGAAACCCTATCTGGAAAAAAACAAAAACAAAACAAAAAATGCCAAAGCCCCCCCCCCCCAAAAAAAATCTGACCAAAAACAATGTAGAAGAGGAATGGATTTGCTTGGCCTACCCTAGCCTGCCATTGAAGAAAGAGAGCAGCCTTATCTCCAACTGAGGAATTTACTTCAAGGTCAAAGAACCACAGAGGGTGCTGCTTGCTGAAGTCTTCTGTCTAGGGGTTGGTTAGGAGCACAGAGAGCTGAGTCTTTCTACATCAATTAACAATCAAGACAAAGTACCATGGACATACCCCCAGGCCAATCTGATCTAGGTAATTTCTCTATTGAAGTTCTCCCTACAGACGACTCTAGGCCAGTCCGGTCAAGTTGGGGAACTTACCAGAATCTGTGGCTTCGAGGTCAAGCCCTTGCCTAGGCCTTGGTTTCAATCAGCATTCAGAAGGACAGTAGGAAGGAAGGTAGAAAGAGAGGAGGAGAGGGAGGGAAGGAGAGAGAGCAAGAGCCTTCTAGGCAGCCTGAGGATTTTGAAACTGTGAGGTCTGGATAGGTCTGAAGTCCTTCCAGAGAAGCCACTCTAGCCGGAGACTGTTGGGAAGGTGGCCCAGGGTGCAAGCGGAGTGGCTGCTGGAGGGCTGGAGGTCAGGGCAGGGGACATGTGGTGGCTTCCCTCAGTCCTGGCACCATGCACAAAGCACATCTCTCTTGCAATGTCTGCACCATCCTCATCTAGGTTTTCTCAGAAGTGCTCCCTGTTTCCCTGATCTCTCTTTGTTCTTCCTGTCAGCCCTCCATTTGCTCTTTGTGTGGTGGCTCCCTGAATTCCTTCAGGTGTTCTCCTCAGGATGTGCTCCCGAAGCAAGGCTTTGCTGTGCTCTTCAGTATGCCCAAAGGGAGTCGGCGCTCAGAGATATTTGTTGGACGGATGGATGGATGGATGGATGGGGGAACAAATGGGTTTGAGATCCAGACCACACTGTTTTTTTCTATAAACAGTGTGTGTGTGTGTGTGTGTGTGTGTTATAGGCATGTGAGTGTAAATAACCCTGGACTGAGTTACAGGCACTTGTGGGCCACCCACAAGGGTGTTGGGAACAGAATTCAAGTCAAGAGCAGGACCCCTGACTCCACTTTGGAACAGAGGTGTGACGTTGGCTAAGTGACACCCACTCTGCAGCCTTTATAGAATAAAGGGAGAGACATAGCTTTGAAGGAGCATGGACAGTGGGGGAAACTATGGAGTAGAGTTTGAGAAGTAGGGTAAAGGATTATTTCATTTCATTTCATTTCTTTATTTTTGAGGCAGACTCTCACTGTGTAGCTCTGGCTGGCCTTGTTCAGTTCACAGAGATCTGCCTCCCTAGCGCTTGGATTGAAAGTGTATGCCACCATGCTTAGCTTTAATCTTTAATGTATCTAGATTATTGTTTTGAAATAACTCCAGGATACTTTTTGGTGGGAGCCATGTTTGAGACAGGATCTAAGGCAGCCCAGGCTGATCTCAAACTCACAGTACAGCTGAGGATGACCTTGAACTTCCTGCCTCTGCCTCCCAGATGCTGGAACTGCACACCTGTGCCTCCGCCTGTAGCCACCGAGCTAACATCAGGACTTTTTAAAGATGGAGTTGTAAGATAGTGTGAATAGGAGCCATGCTTTCCCTCCCCCAGCCTTCCCTAATATTACAGACCTCAAATACAGTTCTCAAAACAGAACTGATTTTTTTTTTCAGTTCTGGAGGTGGAACCCAAGATAACACGTATCAGAGTGAGTGCTCCCTCACCAAGCTTCACTCCCAGCCCCAGGAAGTTCATGTTGAGGCAACATTAATAATTAAATCATGGCTGTCATTTGAAATTTATCAGATTTTTTTCTCTAGTTAAACGTTTACTCTGTTCCAAGATAAAATCCAGGATTCTAAATTGCATTTAGTCTCTCTGTTTCTCTTTCTCTGTCTCTGTCTCTCTCTCTGTTGCTCTGTGTGTGTGTGTGTTTGTGGTGTGTATGTGTGTGTGTGTGATTGTGTGATCTATTTATGTTTTGAGACAGAGTTTCACGCTATAGTCCAGGCTAGTCTTCAACTCACTATGTAGCCCAGGCTGGCCTGATATTCACTTAACCCTCTTGCCTCAGCCTCCCACGTGCTGAGATTACGAATGTGAGTCACCGTGCCTGACCACATCGATGTTCAATATCCAATAATCTCCGACAGTTCCTCAGGCTTTCTTTGTCTTTCGTGGCAATGACTCTTGAATAGGCACTGCCCAGTCATATTGAAGGATGTTTATAGTTTTGGTGTGTTGGGTTTTGGGTGGAGTAGGAGGGTAGGCTGGAGGTCCAACCCTTGGTCACATGCATGCCAAGCAACAGACCACTGTGCTATAGCTGTTTATCTGTTGAATGGATAAGAAAAATTGAGGCAGACTCTCATTATGTAGTTTAAGTTGTCCTAAAACTCCTTTCCTAGACCAGGTTGGCTTCAAAACCATGGTGATCTTCCAGCCTCTGCCTGTCAAGTGAATTCCACTGCAGGTGTATACCCCAAGGCCTATCCTAAAACGTTTTGCAATATGAACTTTTTAATACCCTTTTTATTTTATTTATTTTATGCATGTGAGTGTTTGTCTGCATGTCTGTGCACCGTGTGTGTGCCTGGTGCCTGGTGCAGGTCCAGAAAGGGCATCAGGTCCCCTGGAACTGGAGTTACAGCACATACGTACACCAGGTGTACAGCACACACAGAGGCACACACACAGAAATCAGGTGACTAGTAGAAGCAGTTCTTGGCTTCTTCCATGTAGGTCCTGGGGATCCAATCAGGCTACCAGACTTGGCGTCAGATGCCTCTAGTCACTGAATCATCTCATAGGCGGCTAACTGTATTTATGTAGGCTCTGCCTTCATCAACTCTCTCTTAATCCTTGGGATTACATTTCAACATGAATTCTAGAGAGGTCCCCAACATTCAAACTGTAGCAAAGAGTCTTGCAATTTGAGGTAGAGGATTCCTTCATTGGCTGTTTATTAACCAGAATCTTTGCATGCTCTTCTAGGCATATACAGCACCCCATGATCAGGTGACTCTTCCAGTCCAGAGCAATGGAGCAAAATGAATCCTCCCGTGTGGATTCTGAATTTCGATACACCCTCTTTCCGGTTGTTTACAGTGTCATCTTTGTGTTGGGGGTGATTGCCAATAGCTATGTGCTATGGGTCTTTGCCCGCTTGTACCCTTCCAAGAAACTGAACGAGATAAAGATCTTCATGGTGAACCTCACCGTTGCCGACCTGCTTTTCTTGATCACCCTCCCGCTGTGGATTGTCTACTATTACAATGAAGGCAACTGGATTCTACACAAATTCCTGTGCAACCTGGCTGGCTGCCTCTTCTTCATCAATACCTACTGTAGTGTAGCCTTCCTGGGTGTCATCACTTATAACCGCTACCAGGCAGTGGCCTATCCCATCAAGACTGCTCAGTCTACCACCCGCAAGCGTGGCATCTCTTTGTGCGTGGTCATTTGGATATCCATCGTGGCTACTGCATTATACTTCCTGGCCACGGACTCCACCAACGTGGTTCGCACAAAAGATGGCTCAGGCAACATCACCCGCTGCTTTGAGCACTATGAGCCGCGCAGTGTGCCGATCCTTGTGGTTCACGTCTTCATCGCATTCTGTTTCTTCCTCGTCTTCCTTCTTATCCTCTACTGCAACCTGGTCATCATCCACACGCTGCTCACGCGGAAGGTACAGCAGCAACGCAAACCTGAAGTGAAGCGCCGGGCACTGTGGATGGTCTGCACCGTCTTGGCGGTGTTCATCATCTGCTTTGTGCCCCATCACATGGTCCAGCTGCCCTGGACCCTCGCAGAGCTGGGCTACCAGACCAACTTCCACCAGGCTATTAATGATGCCCATCAGATCACCCTCTGCCTCCTCAGCACCAACTGTGTCTTAGACCCTGTAATCTACTGCTTTCTTACCAAGAAGTTCCGAAAGCACCTCAGCGAAAAGTTTTACAACATGCGCAGTAGCAGGAAGTGCTCCCGGGCCACTACTGACACGGGCACCGAAGTGATGGTTCCGGTTGACCAGACTCCTGTCATGTTGCTAAAAAATTAATCTCTGTCTTATTAAAGACAGACCCAGAGTCTCCTCTTCCTTGGACCTCACAGCCTGAGCTGGGAGGTGAGAGGTTTCTGCTTGTGGACAACCCCTCCTGGGACCATGGCGGACCACTGAGGGCAGAGGTTCCTTTCTCACAGAGACGCTGGTTGACAGCACTGCCAGCATGTTGGAAAATACCGAACTTGAATGCTCCTTTTTACTCATTTGTGGGTTAATACTAGCGATTGTGGCTGATGGCTTAATCCAGAGCTTTTGAATCTGACATCCCGGCTAGGGCCAAACCTTGGGCTTAGACTCTGAGTTACCCAGTTCTTCCGACTGGGGCCGCAGCCGCAGCCATAGTATTGGGCACTGCCTCCTGCTGCAGGCAGGGGAGGAGTTATGGGCGAGCACCGCTTCACTGGTCCTGTGGAAGATCTTTGTGGGAACAGTAGGTTTAGGATAGCGCCCTGCTTTCTCCACCCCTAGGTACAAGATCTCTGTGACACTTTCAGAGGAAGTGGTTTGATGGAAGCCTCTGATGACCCAGAAACTTATCTCAAATGTAACCAGAGGAAATAATACAAAAGCTGACCAGAAGCTAGGATGGGAGCGGATTTCCCCAGGCAGCTGAGTTTCCAGCCAGGCCTGAGAGTCTAGGAGAGAGATAGCTCCCTCTGGACCCTGCAGTTTCAACTGCGGGCAGGCGCCAGCTTCTTTTGGTGACCCCTGAACACCTGATGGTGACTTTTTGACAAGTGTGTTAGTCACACTTCACTCGCTGTGCCCAGCCCTTCTGTCAGAAACAACCGACGGAAGAAGAGATTTATTTGGCTCACAGTTTCAGAGGACTTCACTCTATCACGGCAATCAAGGCCTGCCGGGGCAGCTCAGACTATTGGTGGCAGGAACAGGAGGCAGAGGTTGTTCATGTGGCAGTGAGCCAGGAGACAAAGCAGCCCTTTAAACTGGGTACAATCTTCAGAAGCCCCGCCAGCTGTCCATTTCTACAGCCGGGTCCTACCTCCTCCCGGTTCCACAGGCTCCCACAATAACACCAATAATGGGAGAGTGAACACAGAGACCGCGGCCCTGGGCCAGTGAGATCAGGTAAAGGCACTTGCTGCTAACACAGACAATCAGAGTTGGATCCCAGAACCCACATGGTGGAACGGGAACAGACTTCTGCAGGTTGTCCTTTGACCTCTTCATGCATGTTGTGTCATGCACATGCCCCGCCTCCCCCATATACACATAAATATACATACAAAATAATGCAACAGAGCAAGACAAACATGGCCCCGTGGAGGTGCAGGGTATTTCAGATTCAAAATACACGAACTATTACATTCACACGAGGTCCTCTCCTGCTCTCTAAACAAGAGCAGGAATGGCAGACTCAGAACTCTGAGAAATTTTCCTGGTTCCCTGAGCCTTGTGTTCCTTAAAAAACATGTTCTTGGGGGCTGGAGAGATGGCTCAGTAGTTAAGAGCACTGATTGCTCTTCCAAAGGACCTGGGTTCAATTCCCAGCACCCACATGGCAGTTCACAACTGTCTGAAGATCCAGTTCCAGGGGATCTGACACCTTTACACCAATGCACATTAAATAAACCATAAAAAATGTTTTTTTTTTTAATGTTCTTCCTTCCAGCTAGGGTCCCCTTCCAGCCAGTGTCCCCTTCCAGCCAGTGTCCCCTTCCAGCTAGTGTTCCCTTGACTTTGGGTCAGTTGATTCCTGTCTGTCAGACAAGCATGGGGCTTGTTCCAATAAGCTGGTAACCTGCTTGGTTTTGGGGTGATGGCCATGGGCTGTCCCTAGCTGAAGGTGACTACGTAGCTAAAGCAACACACTTGAACTTTGGCATCTTACAAACTCAGGCTCAAGGCTCATCTGTGCCTGGTGCTGTCTAGGAAGTGGGAATTTGACTTTCTGCCTCTTAGTGTTATTAGCTGGGAGGTGCGGCCTACCTCGCGGGGCTGTTACCAATGAGCAGAGCTTGCTCAGCTGACTCTTGATTGCTCATCCCTGATGCTCCCCGCGATCCTCTGATAGGAACTGAAGGGGTGAGAGTTGGACATGTGGATTCGGGATGTTGTTTGGGGATTTACAAGCCACGTACTGAAGTCAGTTAAACTCCGGAGCTGTGACCATGTCTGTGTGTAAAGTGAGTGGGTGGGGTGGCCACCTGGGCAGACAAATGGCTTTTCAAAGAAGGCAGATGTGCTAGGCAAAGCAGAGGCCAGAGAGGAACCATTTTCAGTGGTTCTCAATCTCCCTCATGCTGTGACCCGCTTCATACAATTCCTCATGTTTTGCTGACTCCCAACCATAAAATTATTTTCATTGTTACTTCATAACTAATTTTGCTACTGTTATGAATCATAATGTAATGTAGATATTTATGGAGAGAGAGGTTTGCCAAAGTGCTCTCGACCCCACAGGTTGAGAATCACTGCACTGAAGCCCGGAGAGACAAGAAGACACAGCCTCCTGGGGCCAGAGGGCATTCCTGCATGCTTTCGCTTGAGTCCCGAGACATTTTCTTGGCAGGATTCCTTCTTGCTTAAACTCATTCGGATGGGGGTCTAGCACCTTCAATCAAATAGCCTTCTCTATGTTTCTGTGCTAATACAGTACATTCTGAACTTGTTCATTTGCATATCCTCCTTGTCATTGTTTTGTAATATCCATGTACCATGGTATGTTTACTTAATAAATATTTTTGTTTTTAAATTGGGTCAGTTTTTAAAACTTACATTCCTACCTCACAGGCACCCTATAAAGATTTTTCTGCCCATTTTACAGGTGGGAAAAAGGAGGCTAGGAGGGACTGAGTCAAGGTGAAAGAGAGAGTAAGTGGCAGAGTCATTAATATTTAAAACTAGAACCCTGGGTAAGCACAGGCTCCCTCCCATCCCCCCTTTGCCGTGTAACTGTACCTGTACCCTACTCTTTTAAGCATCTTGTGTGTGCTGGGGCCAGAGCTGGGACAGGCTTCCACCCTGATGTTGGAGGTCTCTTTTGCAGCTCAAGCCGCCTGAAACCCCATGGGGACTCTTCCCAGACATAGATACCAATGATCAGGACTTGGGACATTGGTTCATAGATACGACACCCAAATGGTTCTAAGAACCCCGGGAGCCAGAGCGCCATTGCTGCTGAAGCCAGGTGGAGCGGTCACTAATCATGAGACTGAATTCACTTGTCAGCTTGCAGAGCTCTAGAACCTTCTAGAAATAAGAGTCTCTCTGGTCTGTACACCCATAAGCAATGCCATTTGGAACCACACTTACACCTAGCTTGATGAAGTGCTGCCAATTTGGTCCTGAAGTGACTGCAGCAGTCCACACTCCCACCCGTTGCTTTATGAAGCTTTTGTTGTGTGTTTTGTTTGGATGCAGGGTTTCACCATGTAGCCCTGGCTGTCCTGGAACTCACTATGTAGACCAGGCTGGCCTTGAACTCACATAGATCCACCTGCCCCTGCTTCCCAAGTGCTTTGATTAAAGGTGTGCACCACTACACTCCTGCCTATTATTTTCTCATTAGCCTATATTAATTATACACAATAACGTATTGGCATTTTCATACACATATAAAATGTACTTGGAACATATTCCGCCCTCCCCCCTGTGCTTCCTCTCGCCCTCCCCCAACTCCTGCTGATCCCTTCCTAGCCCCCTTCCTCTTCTGAACTGGCTTCACTTCCACTTTCGCCCCTCTTTCTGCTGTGTGACACAGAGTTTCTCTAGTGCTGTTGACCAGAGTATGGACCCCTTCACCATTGAAGATGTCTGTTCCTCTCCATCAACAGTTAATTGTATGCAAATCCTCGGGGAGGACTGAGGTCCCAGGAGGGACCCACCCATGGGTTCTGTTTCCTGGAGTCACAACCATCCTGTACCGGTATTGCCCACCTTTCATGCCACAGAATGTCCAGTCAAATCGTGCTTTTAGTTTGAGTCTCTCAGATTACTAAGGGAGTGTTTTCAGGTACTTATTACTAATTTGTGTTCAGATTCAAATCATTCAAATGCCAAAGCTCACTGTTCCATGTCACAGAATAATAAATAGAGAGGCCACCAATAAAGAGGCCACCGAGACGTGTGGCCAGGGTTCCTTTCTGCACCAGATTCTAGTCTGTGATTTTGGACACACTATGGAACCTCTCTGGGCCTGTTTCTGTTAAGTGGGAATACTGGCCAGGTGTGGTGGCTCACACCTGTAATTCTAGCACTTGAGAGGCTGAGGCAGGAGCTTGCTACAACTTCAAGACCACTCTGGGCTATATGGGTAAGTATCAGGTCAACTAAGGTTGCATACAAAAATTTTGTCTATTTTTTTTTAATTTATTTCAGTATTTTGAGACAGAGTCTCTCTATGCCTGGCTGTCCTGGAACTAGTTCTGTAGACCAGGCTGGCCTCAAACTCACAGAGACCCGCATGCCTCCGCCTCCTGAGTGCCAGGATTAAGGGCATGTGCCATCACCACCTGGCTATAAAAATAATTATTTTAAAGAATACATATATTGCCAATGTAAGAAACCATTTTGTGAGTTTAGAGTTGCTTAGGACAGTCCCTGGCACAGAATAAATGTCCTTAATTGTTGCCCCTATAGATCGCCTCTGCTCCACAGAGCCCCCTATTTTCAAGACTGCCTGCCATGGCCCTCTTCCCCTTATGACCAGGTTCTCATTATGTAACCTGGTATTTTCCATACAAATGGGAAAATGCAGAGAGGAACTGGGTGTTACCAGTCAGGCTTTTCTTTGCTTTTACTTCTAGGAGATTCTACAATTCACCAGAGAGGGTTTTTAAGAAGCCAGAGCCATTACACACATGAGTCAGGGGATTTCAGTCTTTGGATGGTCATGAGGAAGGAGTAAGTTCCTTTTTTCCCCGGAGTTAGGGTTTTTCTGTGTAGCCCTTGCTTTCTTGGAACTCATTCGGTAGACCAGGCTGGCCTCGAACTCACTGAGATCTACTTGTCTCTGCCTTCCTTCTGTATAGCTTACTTTCACTGCTTCTTGTGTCTGTCTGTACGGTGGCTGCCTGATTTCTGGCCCTGGACATGTCCCTCTCCTTCTTCCTCATTCTCTTCTTTCACCTAGATTTCTCCTCCTATTTATTCTGTCCACCAACCCCACCATCCATCCCTCTCCTGTCTAGCTATTGACTGTTCAGCTTTTTATTAGACCAATCAGGGGCTTTAGGCAGGCAAAGTGCCACAACTGTAACACATCTTTACACAGTTAATCTCCTACAGTGGAAACAAATGTAACACACTGTTACACAGTTAATCTCCCACAGCAGAAACAAATGTAACAAACACATCTTTGCCTAATTAACATAATAGTCCACAACAGATGAGCAGGTTGGTGGGGGCACATGCCTTTAATCCCAGTACTCAAGAGGCAGAGGCAGGCAGAAGAGGCCAGCCTGGTCTACAAAGGGACTGCTAGGACAGCCAGGACTACACATAGAGAAACCCTGTCTCAATAAATAACTAAATAAATAAATAACAAAAATCAAGCAATGGAAAGCACAGAGGTTGTGTTAAATGATTAAAGCCAGGCATTGAAGGTCAAATGTGTGATCCTACTATGCACCCAGTGCCTGTAGGGGCCAGAGAGGGCACTGGGTCCTCTGTAACTGCAGTTACAAATGGTTGTGAGCCCCTGTTTGGGTTCTAGAACTGAATCTGGGTCCACTGCACCCATCATCCCTCTTACCCCATAAAACGATGAATTTTATGCTGCCCATGGTGGGTGTCACCATTCCCTGGCTGAGATCATGATTTGTCAAACATAGTTGTTCTCAACCTTCCTAATGCTATGACTTTTTAATACAACTCCTCACTTTGAGGTGACCCCCAGCCATAAAGTCATTTTTGTTCAGTGTGTGGAAGCCCAGGGTCTGGCCCTCCACCTGAGAGCCTGTTGGTGTCCTTGGGCCATGCTGCTGCTGAGCCATACTGATCTGGGTGGCTTGTGCTGCCAGTGGGGCCATGGTGACATCTGGACATGAGTTGCTGCTGAGAGCCATGTTTGGGTCCATGGTCCTGTGCCCCTGGAGTCTGTGAGAGATGGTCCCACCCTTCACCGTGGGTGTGGGAGAGCTGGTTCCACTCCTTGCCTGAGGCCCCAGCGGTCAGGACTGACCAGTTCAGTTACCACCCAGACCCACTTCCAGGGCTTTGAATTGGCCCACCCCAGCATCTAACCCATTTGTCTTGTTAGGGTTTTATTGCTGTGAAGAGACACTGTGACCATAGCAACTCTTTTGTTGTTGTTGTTGTTGTTGTTTGCTTTCTGAAACAGGGTTTCTCTGTGGAGCTTTGGAGGCTGTCTTGGAACTCTGTAGACCAGGCTAGCTTTGAACTCACAGAGATCTGCCTGCCTCTGCCTCCTGAGAGTTGAGATTAAGGGCATGTGTTCCCACTGCCCAACAATTTTGTTGTTGTTGTTGTGTTGTTGTTGTTGTTCCTAGCTGTCCTGGAACTGTCTTTAGACCAGGGTGGCCTCAAACTCACTGAGATCTGCCTGCCTCTGCCTCCCGAGTGCTGGGATTAAAGGCATGTGCCACTACCACCCTTCCACCCCTAAAGTAATATATTTTCTTTCTTTCTTTTTCTCTTTCTTTCTTTCTTTTTTTTTTTTTTGATTTTTCAAGACAGGGTTTCTCCATAGGTTTTGGTTCCTGTCCTGGAACTAGCTTTTGTAGACCAGGCTGGCCTCGAACTCACAGAGATCCGCCTGCCTCTGCCTCCTGAGTGCTGGGATTAAAGGCATGCGCCACCACCACCCGGTGAGACAGGATTTTTCTGTGTAGCCCTGGCTATCCTGAAATTGCTTTGTACACCAGGCTGGCCTCAAAACTCACAGAGATCTGCCTGATCATAGCAACTCTTATAAAGGAAAACATTTAATTGTGGTGGTGGATTCCAGTTTCTGAGGTTTAGTCCATTATCATCATGGCTGACTCACAAGCAACAGGAAGTGGTCTGTCACACTGGGCGTGGCTTGAGCGTATGAGACCTCAAACTTCCATAGTGACACACTTCCTCCAACAAAGCAACACCTCCTGATAGTGCCAGTACCCTTGGGGACCATTTTCTTTCTTTCTTTTTTTTTTTAAATTTAATTATTTATTAAGGATTTCTGCTTTGTCCCCGCAACCGCTTCCCATTTCCCTCCCCCTCCCCCGATCAAGTCCCCCTCCCTCATCTGCTCGAAGAGCAATCAGGGTTCCCTGACCTGTGGGAAGCCCAAGGACCGCCCACCTCTATCCAGGTCTCGTAAGGTGAGCATCCAAACTGCCTAGGCTCCCACAAAGCCAGTACGTGCAGTAGGATCAAAAACCCACTGCAATTGTTCTTGAATTCTCATTATTCCTCATTGTCCGCTATGTTCAGCTAGTCCGGATTTATCCCATCAGGCGATGAAAGGAGACAGAGACAGAGACCCACATGGGAGCACCGGACAGAAATCTCAAGGTACAAATCAGGAGCAGAAGGAGACGGAGCACGAGCAAGGAACTCAGGACCACGAGGGGTGCACCCACACACTAAGACAATGGGGATGTTCTATTGGGATCTCACCAAGGCCAGCTGGCCTAGGTCTGAAAAAGCATGGGATAAATCCAGACCATTTTCTTTCAA